GTGAATGATTTTTTTTTGTCACCACTCTAAGAATGTTTTTAGACAGGATCTTGCTATGTAGCTCAGGCTGTCCTTGAGTTTGAGCTCAAGTTGACCCTCCTGCCTCAACCTCCTTAGTGCTGGAATTTCAGGCATGTGCCAACACACCCAGCAAATGTATTTTGATGTCTGTTTTTCAGGAAAATTTCTCCAGGTAACCAGTGAATTAACTTTCTTTATCACGTCTCTGCTGTGACAGCTTCAGCTTCATTAGCGAAGGGACATTAATTTTAGAAAGTGCCACTGAAGTGCCACTTTGGACTTGGTCCCCTGATACACTGTATACGTCCCTGAATCTGTCTGCCCCCCCCCCGCCGCTGTGGTTCTCTAGTGCTTTAGTGACTGTAATAAGCTGGGATGTTGTTTCAGAAGAATCCTGGAGCCCCCTTAAGGTCAGACCCCAGGATCCCAGACCGAGCCATCCCAGAGGTAAACAGGAATGTGGTAGGACAGGAATGAGATGTGCTTTGGCTCTCAGGGTCAGGACATCACTGATGGCACTGTGTGCCTTGAAGGTTTGAGCTGCCCTGGGGAATCGATGCCCCTGCACCTGTGGTTAGCGAGGAGCTTTGAAAATCAGACCCTCAGGTCCACCAAGACTGCAAACAGTCACCGTGATACCACTGTGTCAGTGGCCCTGCTCAGGTCAGAAAATGCACCCCTCAGCCTCCATCTGGAGAAGATACATCTGTGCAGAAACGTGTTGTCTATTGTCTCATCAGGGGTCTGACTTCTGCCTCCATCTCTCGCTATCCAGAGAGTAAATGGACAATTCCTTTTTTGGTGTCTTCAAGGTAATCTAAATTTTGAACAATAAATGCTATGACTTATTAAAAAGTCTCTCCCTTCATTCGATTTTTCTGTCTTCATCCATTTATTTCTTTATCCATCTCTCCCTCTCTTCCATGTCTTTCTTCCTCCTTTTCCTGCCTTTTTCTTCCCATCCCTCTTCATGTTTTTTTTCTTTAGATATTAGAAAATAAGAGAAAGGTCAGTTGGTTTGAGTTGAAAATGAAGCTCCAAACTAATTCATGACACTCTGAAGGCATTTACATCTTCATTGTCACATACTTCCCCATCACCTCTCATTTTTTAATCTCATGGATAATTGTATTAATACATACTATAAGCCCACACTATACACAGTCTTGCTTTGTTCAGCTCTGACACCTGATTCCTGAGGTCAGCGCTATCATTCTTGCTTCCTTTCTCTTTGGCCTGTCCCCCTCAACTTCTCTCTTAAGCATCCAGGTTTGTGGACAGCTGAAAACAAAACTGCTGGGAACAATCACTTCTGTTCCTATGAGTAGGTACTTATAGTTGACTTATTTCTGCTCTTTGCCACATCCCTGTACATTTGCACAGCAGTTCCTGTTCTCCAAGTGAGAAAATTAGATGTGCTCAGAAAGCTTCAGTTAGCTGGGCGTGGTGGCGCACGCCTGTAAGCCCAGCACTCGCGAGGCTGAGGCAGGAGGATCACCGTGAGTTCAAGACCAGCCTGGGCTATATAATGAGTTCCAGGTCAGTCTCAACTACATAGGGAGACCCTGTCTCAAAAACCAAAAAAAGAAAAAAAGAAAAGGAATTTCAGGGATCTCGTGAGCCACAGATGCAAGTCAAAATAGCCAAATCCATGATTATATCTGTAACTGTTCAAATCCATGACATACACTTGGATGCTTGATGTCTTTATATGTCTTTTCACTGGCAAAAGTCACTTCCTGATCAGAGACAAAATTTACAAAGCAGAGAGCCCATGTTAGATGGGTTCATTGCAACATTCAACAGCGCACATGCTGTGGTTCTGTATTTTATCCTGACTCCTCAGACATTTTTGCAGAAATTCCTTAGGAAAAGATGTTATGACATTCCCAGCACATGATGATTCTTTATTTTTCTCTTTTAAAACTAAAAGCTAGTTTTCATTGAAGTCTTCAAAAAACAAAGTCTTCATTCTTCCAGATAACCAGATTTCCTTACAAAAATTTTTGGACAATACGTGTACAAAATTTTACTTTAACAGGATGCATAGCTTTACAGGAACTAAACATTAAAGCATAATTTCAGATTTCTGTGTTGCTTCTATTGGAGATGAATAAAATAGAACATAAGTCAAGGAAACATTTCTAACTGTTCTGCAGCGATCAATAGTATATTATTTCTATTAAGCAAACTTATCTAATCTATAAATATTCCTTCTGGTCTGATTTTAATATCTTAATTTTCCAGTACATATGAAAAAACACATCCAACTGTAGAAGCCTACCAAGAGTTTCCTTATCAGTGTACATCACAGTGTGAGTTCTTAGCCCCATAAATTGGCCCATAAGCTCTGGAAGAACGAACTATAATGGGTGGGAATAGCATTAACCACAAAAGAGAGATTAACTTGAGACAATAAACTTTAATGAAGTGAAATATGTCAAATGCCTTTAAATTTTCATTTTCTTATTGATACTATGCTTATCTTTGAGTAATACTAAAAACAAATTGGTTGTTTTTATTATGGAGTTTAGATTGATATACAATACTTGTATACAACTTATTTTATTATAATATAAATACTATCTTTATTATTATAATGAGGTTTCTTTTAGTTATTCAACTCAAGACATTGCATATATCAGGCAAGTGGTCCTCTGATATCCACACATCTGCGTCATCCAGGTTTGGGTGTTGCTCTGTGTTTTGTGGAAATCTTGCTTCTTAGATCCTCCCCAAGAAAACTGGAGAGGAGGTCCACAGAAAGAGACTCACGGTCAGAAAGTAGTGGTGTTTAGCAAGTTTGTTTGTTTAAGGCCATTGCAGTGCATGGCAAACAAAGGTAACTTTTATGAGTAAGAATTCACACTTCTGAGAGTTGTAGGTGCTCAGATCTAGAGACCGCAACTTTCGCTCTCAAGAAATTACACACGCATGCAGTTTTTCTATAAAATGTAATACTCTGCAGCCATAAAGAATGAGAAATTAGTCATTCATAGGAAAATGGATGCATATTGAGGATATACTCTTAAGTGAAATAAATAAGTCACATGCATAAATACTGAATAGTTTCTCTGGTATGAAAAACTAAAAGTGTAAATAAGATCCAAATGGTATAAATGACAATGTGAAATAGGAAGAAAAGGGCTAAAGGTGTAGGGGAAGTTGGAAGGGTAGGGGAAAGGTAATAAGGGAAAATTTAAAAAATATGAGAAAATGAAAAAATGGAAATAAAGTCTTTGTAAATAGGGAAGGGAGGAGGGATTGAGGGGAGGGCAGGAGTAAGGAGAAAAAATGAGAACCAAGACCTGTCATGTAAAGGTACAAGATCCAATGATGAATGCAACTGTACTGTGTCCCTAAAATGTACCAATAAACACAGTGAGAGAAAAAGAAATTACACCCTCATGTCAGATGCCCATGTTTGAGTCGAGCCTTTATATTCGCAGGGCCTGATCTTTTCAAATTATTTAGGAAGGGTGGGGGTATCAGTGTCAGAGATGGTAACTGCAATGAGTTGATGCCTGGGATTTCTTTCGATTTCCTAGATTTTGGAGAAGTGGTCAGGGATGATAATTAACAGGGCTTTTCCCCCAAACTGTCTCCATCTCTGTCACTAGAAGTGGCTTTTGAACTCATGCAGGTATGATCAGAGCCAGTAGAATGGCTAAAGCCCATGTAGTGAGTTAAAAACCACAGTATAAATGCATACAAATAAAGCCTAATTGGGCTATCAGGGTGACCACAATTTACATCAAGAGTCTGTGCCTCTAGGGTACTGTGTAGAAATGAAAGGTGTAAGACCAACCAGGATAAGGAATGCACACAGTGGCTTTCATGTGCTCATCCCAGGAAGTCTGCAGACTGAAAACTCAGGAAACCTAGACCGTGCCCTTTCTTAGAATTTTCTTCCATGTTCCTGCTGCCATTTCCCAATGTCCACCTCCTGTCTAGCCACCTCCTCTATCAATGCCACTGTGCTACGTCCCCAAACATATGAAGGAATTGCTGTGCATCAATAAACTTTTAATCACAAAAGCATAAAACAGGCAGTATTTCCCTCCAAAACTGTGTTTTGCCAAATTGTGTTCCTTAAGTCTTTTATTCTAGAGTGATTTGCCTGAACAAATCTTAAAGGACCAAACCATTACTATAACTGGGCTCTGTCATGCCCCAGAATGGTCCAAGTACTGAAGGTTTGGTCCCCAGCCCGGTGCTATTGGAAGGTGGTGGGATCTTTGAGAGGTGGGATCTCCTTGGGGCCTACAGAGCACTTGGGGGCTGCCCAACATGGAATTTGGGGACCCTGTTTTTTCCGTCTTTATCTGTCACTTCCTATCTGTGATGCGAGATGGTACTGCTGTTCTCCCTGGCCGTGATGAACCACACAAGCCCGGAGCAATGGGGACAGTGGGTGATGGACTCGAACCCAAAAACCGTGAGGCAACATAAATCTTTTCTAAGTTTTTACTGGTTTATGTAGTGACACGAAATTTGGAAAACACAGCATGTTTCCTTCCATTTTATTATGTTTTTTTAAAAGAACAGAGAGAAAATAAAAACCTAAGACTACAGTTAGAAACAATAAATTGTGTATTTCAAAATAGGCAGAAATACACAGAGGCTAGAAGGGAGGTTTTTGAATGCTTTTGCCAGAAAGAAATGACAAATATATAAGGTATGGATGTGCAGATTACCCTGATTTGATCATTAAATAATGCCTAAGTATATCAAAATGAAACAATGTACCACATAAAGATGTGTAATTCTCAAAGATTAACTAAAAATTTACAAAATAAATACAAAAGAACTTGGAATAGCGAGAGGGTGGGAAAAGAAATGATGAGGGAAATACAAATCAAGGAAAGGAAAGAGGAGAAAGATAATCCCGCAAAACTTACCTGTTTTCATTTTAAAACATGGATGAAATTCAAATGGTTTCTCTACAGTTTGTTTTCTTTATCATTTTTTTCTACCAGATCTGTCAATAACATGAAATCGGAAAATAAGTCAGGCTCTGCAAAATTTGTTCTCCTGGGATTGTCAGATGATCCAGACCTTCAGCCCCTTGTCTTTGGGCTGTTCCTGTCCGTGTACCTGGTCACGGTGCTCGGGAACCTGCTCATCATCCTGGCCGTCAGCTCTGACTCCCACCTCCACACCCCCATGTACTTCTTCCTCTCCAACCTGTCCTTCACTGACATCTGTTTCACCTCCACCACAGTCCCAAAGATGATTGCGGACATCCACACTCACAGAAGAGACATTTCCTATGTGAACTGCCTGACACAGATGTGTCCTTTTATCATTTTTGGATGTATGGATGACTTGCTGCTAACCGTGATGGCCTATGACCGCTATGTGGCCATCTGCCACCCTTTGAGGTACAGTGTCATCATGAACCCCAATCTTTGCTGGCTGCTGGTTCTGCTTTCCTTCCTCATCAGTGTCCTAGATGCCTTGCTCCACACCTCCATGCACTGCGGCTGTCATTCTGCGCAAGCCTGGAGATTCCCCACTTTTTCTGTGAACTGGATCATCTTCTCAAGCTTGCCTGTTCTGATGTCCTCATCAATGACATCCTGGTGTACTTGCTGACAGGTGTGTTGGGTGCTGTTCCTCTCTCAGGGATAATCTTCTCTTACACTCAGATTGTCTCCTCCGTCCTGAAAATTCCATCAGCAGGTGGAAAGTACAAAGCCTTCTCCGTTTGTGGGTCTCATCTAGTCGTCACTTCCCTGTTCTATGGTACAGGTTTGGGGGTGTACGTCAGTTCTACAGCTGCTCAGTCCTCCAGGGAGAGTGCAGTCGCCTCAGTGCTGTACACGGTGGTGACCCCCATGATGAGCCCCTTCATCTACAGCCTGAGGAACAAGGATATGCTGAGGGCCCTGGGGAAACTCATCCCTACAATAACATCTTTCCTTTCATATGTCGGATGCTTTTAGAACTGGAACAAGTCAAAGAGAGATAGAAAATAAATGATTTCTAAAGACTCACCAACGCCTTTGAATATAACCGAGCAGAGACCAAATGATAAAGGGAGAGAATTGTGAAATCAGACCACTTGGGCTTAGATTCTACCTGTGCTATGCCATAGCTATGTGTTATGGTGTAGATCTAACGTGTCCCCGGAAAGGCCATGTATTCCGAGGTTGGCTTCTTGGAGGGTGAGGGGATCGTGGAGTGCTGTACTCAGTAGTGGATTACTGAACAGTTTAGGACTGCATGTGCTGGTAGAAAGTTGGGTCTGGTGGAAGAGGCCATTCACTGGAGGTGTCGCCTGAGAGGCTCGTACCTCGCCCTTCATAGCTCTTCCCTCCACTTCCTGCTTCTTGGCTACCACTGTGTGAGCAGCTGTTCTCTGCCAGGTCCTCCCACCAGGCCCTTCCTGCCACGGCACTGGCTGACTCTGAGCTGAATCCTCAAAAGATCGTGAGCCAAAATGAACCTGTCCTTAAAGGTGTGGGTGTTGGCTATTTTGTCCCAGTGGTGGGAAAATGACTGAGGCCCTGTAAGTTCTTTGACAATTTTCTTCAACTGGCTGAGTTCGCTTGCTCAGCGGTAAAGGCGGGTTAAGTAGATGTAGTTCACACTTAGTCTTGCACTGGGGAATGACATTTTCGTCACAGATGGACTGGAATATATGAAGGTGGGTGGGCTCCTCAGTGATAACGGAGCTAAGAACTTTGTCACCTAGTGATGCTGGTAGCCATGGCAACGCACAGTGCCATCGTGGTGATGGTGGAATGAATAAATTTACTGCACTATCAGTTTGTATAAACATATACTATTGTGTACAGTGTCTGATACTAGATAATGATGATATACAACTTTTTTCCTGGTTGGTTTACTTGCTGCACGTTGTGGCTGTTTCACAACGTGATCCTGTTTGTAAGAAGTTTACTGTGCATCACAATGCTGTGTCACCTGGTTAATAGCCTTGTATGGTGTTTAGCACACATGCTGCATTATTTTCTTTTTTAAAAATCTTTATTAAGTATATTGGTACATTTTAGGTATACAGTACTGTTATACTCATCCTTGGGATCTTGCACTTGTATGTGACTTATCTTGGCTCTTATTTTTCCCCGTTCGCCAGGCCTCCCTTCACCCCCTCCACTCTTCCCTGTTTACAAAGACATTGTGTCCATGTTTTTTCTTTTCAGATTTTTTTCTTTTCCCTTTTTCCCTAGCCCTCCTACTTCCACTACTCTTTTAGACCTTTTCTTATTATTACACAATATCAATGATATGTTTTGATTCTTATTTACACTTTTAGATTTTCACACCAGAGAAATGATTCATCATTTACACGTGTGTGACTAATTAATTTAACTTAAGAGTATGGCCTCAATATGTATCCACTTAGCCATATCTCATTCTTTATGGCTGAGTGGTACTCCATTTTATTACAAAAAAAAAAAACACATCTTCCTTATCCACTCTCTTCTTTGTCTATGATTTAATCTCTTATTTTGTTCATCATGATCCCAAGAGCCATAAATCATAAACTACCTATCATCTGTCAATCTATCTATCTATCTATCTGCTACAAAAGTACGACTATGTAGTTTCCAGTTGCCCTGGAATTCACTATGTTGCCCAGAGTGACTCAGACCTTATGTTGATCCTCCTGCTTCAGCCTCTGGACTGCTGGGATTCCAGGAATGTGCAACCATGCATGGCTGAGAATTATGTGTATTTAACTCTCTAACATCATAAATTTATTTTTACCTAATTTTTTTATAATTTTGTCTTTCATGGTTAAGGCTGTGATAGATTTTAATGGTATTTGAATATGCAATAATCCATTTGGTTTTATTTTTCCATTTGGATAAGCAATAATTTCAGCACTATTTAATGAATGGTATTATTGTTTCTAGGAAGTTCAAAATTATCATCAGTAAAGTATTTGATGCTTCCTTCCTGAGTGGTATCTTCATATAGGTGAGGGTAGAATTGGTAGTAATTGGTGTTGATTAATATCAGGTTATGTATCTCAAAAAAAATCCCATGATTCAATTTAAGAAGGTTTATTACTTCTAGAATATATTTGAACTAAAGCAAAAAAATGTCTATCTGCTCTTACTAAAATAATATAATATTTGGGGGCAAAAATACAGCCCAGCAGCCCCACACTGGAGAAGATGGAGAAGACCTCCACGGCCACCATGACCTTCCCCTTGGTGCTGTGGTACACGGGGAGGAAGGTGACCCACACACTGCAGAACACCAGCATGCTGAAGGTCAGGAACTTGGCTTCATTGAAGGCGTCGGGCAGGTTCCTGGCCAGGAAAGCCACGGTGAAGCTCAGCAGGGCCAGGGAGCCCAGGTATCCCAGGACACAGTAGAAGGCGGTGAGGGAGCCCTTGTTGCACACGATGATGATGTGGCCATGTTCCAAGTGTGCATCTGTATCGATAAAGGGAGGAGAGGTTCCCAGCCAGACTGCACAGAGAATAATTTGGATCAGGGAGCAGATGGGGATGATGGAGTTAGATACCCCTGACACCAGCCACTGCCTCATCCTCCTGCCTGGAGCGGTGACCTTAAAGGCCAGCACCACAGTGATCGTTTTGGCCAAGACGGTGGAAACAGCCACAGTGAACACAACTCCAAATGTGGTCTGCCTGAGGATGCAGGAGGCTGTGTTGGGCCGGCCAATGAAGAGCAAGGAGCAGAGGAAACAGAAGGTGAGGGAGATGAGCAGGGTGTAGCTGAGAGCCCTGTTGTTGGCCTTGACAATGGCAGTGTCTCGGTGCTTCACGAAGAGGCCAAGAGCAGCAGCTGTGAACACAATTGAGACTTAGGGCAGTGCCACGCAGCACCTTCCCCAAGGGGTCTTCATAACCCAGAAATACCACAGATTTTCCCAAGCGGTGGTTTTGTTGTGTATTGGTTACTGATGATGTGGACGCTTAAAGCACTGCTCCATAATGAGCAAAATGGAAACTGTTATCATTCCAAGTTTATCTTTTGTCACTTATATCTCTGCCCTCACAAAGAATTTCAATGCATTAGTTGATGTGAACTTTCCTGCTTTGTTACTCTGGACATTAAATAAAACTTTGCATAGAACTTAATTATCAATAGTATGACCCATTTTCTTCATAGTGAAGAGAACAACATAGTTTTCCTCATCCTGAGTATCTACTTTATTTATGACAGTATATTTCTCTTCTTCCTATATAATTAAGGTCCTGCCTTTCGAAAGTAAACTTTTGTTCATTGGCATAGGAAAAGACTTTTTGAACAAAAACTCAGTAGCACATGAACTAATACAAAGAATCAACAACTGGGATCTTATCTTATTAAAAAGCTTCTGCACTGCAAGAGAAACCACCAATGGAGTTAAGAGACAACTTACAATGCGGGGAAAATTATCAGCTGTTCCGTAGACAAAGGAGTACTATCTAGAATACATAAAGAGCTTAGAGAAATTAGATCCCCAAAATTTAAATGTCCAATTCAAAACTGGTCATCTGAAATGAACAGACATTTCTCAGACAAAGTAGTAGAGGGGGGAAAAAAAACAAAGAAATAGAAGCAGCAAATAAACATGTAAAACAATGTTTCACATCACTGGTCATTTGAGAGATACAGATGAAAAGAGGACTGAGAGTTCATCTTACTCCAAAAAGGATGGCTCCTATCAAGGCCAATAACAAATGCTGGCAGGGTTGTGGGGAGAAGGGAACCCTTCTCCACTCTTGGTGGAAGTGTAACTGGTTCGACCACTGTGGATATTAATATGGAGATACTTCAAAACACTATGATTAGAGGTCCCCTTTGACCCAGCTATTCCCCTGCTGGGTATCTTTCCAAATGAATTAAAAGAATCATATCACAGATATGTGCACCCATGTTCATAGCAGCACAGCTTTAATAGCTAAAACTTAGAAACAACCCAGTTGCCCATCAAGTAGGGACTGGATAAGGAAGAAGTGGTTTTTTTTATATAAAATGGAATACTACTCAGCCAGAAAGAATGAGAAACCGCAGACATTTATACCTAAATGGATGCACCTTGAGGCCATATCCTAAGTGAAATAAATAGGACACACATGTGTGAATACTGAGTGCTTTCTGTAGTGTGAGAAACAGAAAACATAAAGAGGATCAAAATGTTTAATAAATAATAGGAAAAAAAGGTCCAAAAGGGAAGAGAAAGGGGATGTGGGAGGGGTTCGAGAAAGTAATGAAGGGAAAGGAATAAATATGAGATAAGGAAAAAATGGAAACAAAGTTTTTAGAAACAGAGAGGAGTCATGGGGTTGAAGAGAGGCAGGGTAATGGGAAAAATAAGAACCAAGATATATCATGTAAAGGTACAAATTCCCAATGGTGAATGTCACTATATTGTATACATAAATGTACCAAAAAACTTAATGAATAATAAAAACTTTTGAAGAAATTGACAGATACTTAAACTTCTACAAATTATCAAAGGTAAGCTAAGAGGATACAAAAATTCTGAACATCCTAATAACAAGGAATGAAATTGAGACTGTGATGAAGAATTTACAAATTTAATAGCCCAGGGCTTCATGGATTCACTGCTGAATCCTACAAATATTGCAATGTTGTTTTATCTTCTATGCTCCTCAAGTTCTTGCAAGAAATTGAAAGAAGTACAGAGCATCCACATTAATTTATGAAAGGCTGCACCAACACTGACTCTAAAACCAGAAAAAGACTCAACTAAAAAAGAAAACCACAAATCAATCTCCTTAATGAACATGGATGCAAGATAGCACTGAATGGAACACAGCGCACATCATCAAAAGGTCATATATCAAGTCCAATAGGTTTAATCCCAGAGATGTAAGCATGGCTCAACATATACAAATCAATAAATATCATGTATCACCTAGACAGAAGCAAGGTCAAAAACCACATAATCCTGTGAATAGATATAGAAAGGGCCTTTGACAAAATCCAACACCCCTCCACAACAAGAACCCTGAAGAAAATAGGCACAGAAGGATTATACCTGAATTTGCTAAAAAGTACTAATGCCAAACCAATAATCTACATTATATTCAAAGGGAAAAACTACAAAGACTTTTAACCCTTACACTGTCAGTAGAAACATAAGTTAGTCGGCAATCAGCATAGAGATTTCTCAAAGAAAACATTAAAAATTCCATACGTCCCAGCTACCCTTCTATTAGATAACTTACCCAAAGAACTATAGACATACTACAGATTTATGTGGGTACAAATGTTTCCGCAGTACGATTCATGATAGCGAAGCTTAAAAGGATCCTGTATACCCATGAACAGATGACTAAATAAAGAAAATGTGGTATCTGTGCGCGAAGGAATACTCTTCAGCCATCAAGAAGGACAAACTGGAATTCGCAGGAAACTAGATGCGCCTGGAAAGTGTGCTAAGGAACTGCCAGAGGTTCACCAGCACTGCCGGAGAATAGCTCTCGCTTGAGGAAGGCAAAATACGAAGTGCACAACAGAGGATGGGTAGGAGACGGTGCAACAGATCCCTGAGAGTGGGAAGTAGAACCAAGATGTCCGTCCTGCAGGAAGCTGCTGAACACCAGAACGCAAGCGTGTCGCAAACGTTAAAGAATTGTGACATTCTCCTGCATTGATCTTGAGTCAGGAATTTGAGTCAGGCGTTCTACATTCCGTGTAATTGTTGGCATCCCGTGAAGTGGAGAAGCATGAAGATGCGAGTTCAGCACAAGTGACTGTTAACGCTGACAAGCTTGGGCAGTACAGAAAGTGACTTGGGGATCCCTGGGCCTGGGTGTCTAAGTCTGTAACTCCTCGTCTTCTGCTCTGGATCGCCTAACACGCAGAGGTTCTCAGCTGGGCCCAGGCATCTCAGACCGTTTCAGGGAACACCTGGCACCGAACCTCTAGTGCGATCTGTAGGCAGCGTCCCGAAGGGATCGTTGGCTGAGGAGCAACGTGCCCAGGAGGAAGTGGGCCTGGGACGCTGCTGTCGGTGGACTTGGATGAGTCACGGTGCCTCCGGGTGGGCAGAATGGCGCTCAAAATAATTTCCAACTGGTGTTTTTCACCTTCACGCCAGACCTCAGATGCAGAGCCCAGGAGGTAAATAGTGGATAATTCCTCCTGGATCCCCTGGGAGGCTTTCAGAAAAGTGGCAGGGGCAGGAAAGTGTCCACCCGAATCAAAAACAAACACACACACACACATAAATATACAGTCATGTGTGCAT